GCGGCCTGACGGCGCCATCGTAGTAGAGCGTGTCGAGCAAGGCCGTGCACCTGATGACCAAAGACTCCTTCGGGGAGGGCGCCAGTACGCCACAGTCCTGCTGAGATTCGAGCCTGCTGTGCAGTGCTCCGTAGTCGGTGTATCTTGCGAAACCTGGCTGCGGCTGAGCTCTGTCGCTTCCTGGCTTTTGCTTGTACTCGTCGAGTAGCCGCGGCCGCGTCGACTCCGAGGTCCACGGCCGTGGAGGTCGCTGTGACAGGGATGTCGTACTGCCGCAACTTCTTGGCAAGCGATTCGCGGACCTTGGGAGTGGAGCCGATGAGGACCGTCTTGTCAGAGATGGGCAGCTCGAACTCCTTTAAACCGTCGCAGAGCGTCTTGGCGGCACGGGGGAGATGCTTCTGAAGTGTACGTAGGACTCCTTCGACTCGAAGGACGGTGTCGTCTACGAAGGTCCACATCTGGGCTAGCTCAGCCTGAGCTTGGGCTTGCCGTAGAATAGGAAGAAATATGAGTCGCGCCAAGGTCGTGCCATGCGGGGAGCCTGCGATGATGCCTTTGGAGGCGAAGATAGGCATGCTCACCCATTGTCGGCTGCGCAAGAATCTGGGCGCGAGATATAGCTGTACCTCCAGAAGTAGGACAATGGGTGGGAAGCCGCAGTTGAGGCCACCCATGATGAGGTTGGCGAGCTTGATATTGTCGTAGAACTTCTGGATGTCCAACAGCAATGTGGCTGACTGTATGCCGAGTGCTGAGGCTGTCTCGTCTAACAAGGCCCTGTGCAGGGCGGCCTGGAGAGCTGAGGAGCCTTTGATGGCTGTAGTCCAAAAGTCATCCAGTCCTTGGGTCCAGGAAGTAGATGCCGTCGATCTGATGCGAGACCAGAGTCTGGCCATGTGAGGTAGCATGCCGAGGACCCTGTCGCCTCCAGACTTCTTGGCTGCTAGGGCTGCAATAGTACCTGATATTTGTAGTGGCCAAATGCCTGCCTGCTCTACTGCGTTGAGGATATCCGCATAGGCTTCGACTGCTGGTTCTGGTAGTCGATGGAGGTCGCGAGGTCCAAGTGCGTCCACTCCATGTGCTTTACTGGGTGGCATGCGGCCGTGAAAGCGATGTACGATCTCGGCTGTGATGGGCTCGAGCGGTTGGTGTGCGGCTGCTGCCTTGGCCTTTGATAACGCCTGTAGGATGTCGTCAGGGGTCCCTGTGGCCTGCCATACTTGTTGCCATTGTTGCTTCTTGCTGTCCATGATAACGGCGGGGTCGGCGATGGTCAGGTTGGTCGTGTAGGCCTCGATGTGTCGCACGGGCGCCGGCTTGACATGGGCGTGTAGAACCCCAGGGCGGTGTTTCCATTGCTTGGCGAGCCAGGCGCCGTAGGCCCCCTTGGACTTAGCGAGGGCGGCGGAAAGCGCCCTGGAGGCCCAAGTAGCAGTAATGGTGACCAAGTCGTCGGTGTCCTCGTTGTCTAAGTGCGGGGCCCAGACGAGTGCAAACCAGCGGAAGATGGTGTCCTCGTCCTTCTCGAACTGGAGGTCGTGAAAGTGGGCGCTGAAGTGGTCCGCGCGCTGCTGTATGATGGAGGCCTGCTGCTGCATGAGCGCTGTGTGCTTGGGCTTGCCGTGAAGCGCAGCGTAGCGCTTGATGAGGGTGAGCGTGATTGCCCACCATTCTGACTGAGGGTCATGTACGTGAACGCGGCCTGGGGCGGCGACCGTCTTCTTCCAGGACAATTGGTAGCCTTGGGCACGGCCTGTGAAAGCTGCGGCTTCCTTGGGGTCGATCTGGTGAAGGCTGATGATGGTGTTCTCGAGCGCCGTGACCCATTTGGCGTACTTGAGGTTGAGGTCTTCGGCGTCGTGCGCCCAGTGGGTGTACACGAAGTGCGCGTGGGGCTGCTTGCAAAGTGTGGGTACTGCTTGCTGCCATTGCTCCTCCCAGAGGTCGGTCGGGATAGCGTAAGGGATAGGCTCTTGTGCTGCGGGCTCTTCTTGAGGCTGGAGTTGTGCTGCTGCTTGTTGGAGTTCAGGAGGTAGCTCGCGTAGGCGTGCTGCTCGGGCTTCTGCTGTTTTGCGTCTCTTGATGGCGGACTTGCTGTTGGGGTCGGGTGGGATCCTGGGTCTGTCCACTGTGGGGAATGCTCTGGGGGTATGTATCGACTGATACCACCAGGGGTCTGCACTGCCTGCTCGAACCTCCAGGCCCACGCGGGTGGCCCAGGGGACGGTTGGGGCACTGGCGAATGGAGATCGTGTGCTCGATGCCAGTCTTGACCAATGCGAAGTCGAGCGTGAGCCCCTGGCCCTTGTCGCACGTGGCAGATCCAGGCGCTCGCACGATGGTAGCATCCCATTTGGCGGGCCACTCTGTCGCTGCGAGCTGCTCAGGAGTCATATTCCAATCGGCCAGGATGATCCAAGGGTCAGTGAGCATAGCAACGAAAGCCCCCAGCGAAAGTAGCTTATCGTGCACTGCACCCTCGATCTGCCTGTGG